GAAATTTAGAGTAATAACGAAGCCACAGGCCTGAGGATTAATCTTGGGGTCATGGGTGTTTTCTGTGGGAGTTTTTGGTGGTTTTTTGCTTTAAGGCAATTTAGGTGACTGGTCGTTATTGAACGCCCCAGTCACGCGGTGGTGTTGACGTCCGTGGCTGGGAAGAAGCATTTATCTTTAAATGGCTCCAGGGGGACTTCCCTGGCGGCCCAGTGGTTAAGACTCTCTGCTACCAATGCAGGGGGCAGGCACGGGTTCCATCCCTGCTTGGGGAACTAAGATCCCACGTGTCACTCGGCCAAAAAAAAAAAAAAAATGGTCTCCAGGACAGTTGGGCTTTTCTAGTTGGTGTTTCCTCGCTCTTGTTTCTCACAGCTACTTACTCTGCTTCCAGTGCTTGGTTCTCTACCACCAAAAAGGAAATCTGATCCCTTATGTGGGAGAATAATTGAAGGCTGAAAGGAGAAACCAGATACACTGTAATGTTTAAATTTACAAACTATTCGTTTAATAGGCTCTGAGGAAAGAGCGCTTTAAAGTGGAATGCTTGGGTTTTCTGACAGTGGAGCGGCCAGCAGCGGGGGATTCTTGGTAGACTCAAGGCCTACTTTGGATCCTCTCTGCTGGCAGGCTCACCTCCATGTTAACGTGTTTTTCTCCTCTGGCATATATGCCTTTTATTTAAAAGGGTCTCTGAGGAACTCAAAGCTGCGAGGCCCCAAAGACTAGATGTCTAATAGTGGAATCTTGGATTTAGTGTCAGATACTAAATGGGAGAAGGTACTTTGGGACAAGGAAGTGAGGCAGAACCAACAAATGAGTTCATCTGCCTACTTAAAGCTTCATGGGAGACACCTCAGACAGTTTAAAATCTTAGGTGTATCCAGTTGTAGTTTGGGAAGAAGTTTTAGAAAGCTTTCTTTCTGGTTTCTTTCTTTTGTAACTTTTCTCTCGGTGTCATGATCATCAAATTTTATGTGCTGACATTGTTGGCTTTTGGTCACTACAGAAACGTGAAGAGGGCTGGTGGGTGGTGATCGGAGATGCCAAGTCAAATAGCCTCATTTCCATCAAGAGGCTGACCCTGCAGCAGAAGGCCAAGGTGAGTGTGTCCGCTGGCCCTCGTGTGCTGTGAGATGGGGCAGGGTGAGAACTCTTCCTGTGTCTGAGCTGACCCTGAGTTCTGCCTGCTCTCTCCAGGTGAAGCTCGACTTCGTGGCCCCGGCCACTGGCGCCCACAACTACACTCTGTACTTCATGAGCGACGCTTACATGGGATGTGACCAGGAGTACAAGTTCAGCGTGGATGTGAAAGAAGCTGAGACAGACAGTGACTCAGACTGAGTCCAGAGGCCTTTGCTTTTGCACAGAGAGAAGAGTTGAACCTGAGTCTGGTACATGTACGCTGTCATGGGACCTCAGTCTTGGAGACCCGGTCTGTCTGCGTGAGGTCTGGCCAGCCAGTGCCGCCGTGGTCCCAGCCCACCCCACTACTTTCCCCTCCGGCTCCCTTGCCATCCAAACTTCGGATCTAGTGTCTGCAGATGTCAAGCATAAACTGTGTACACCATTTTTAGGCATGTTCTTTGCAGTTCCTTTTGAGTCACACATTCTAATAAAATGACTTGAGAAACCATTTGTCTTTGCAGTGATTCCAGATTAAAAGTTTCCTTTCTCGGGCTTCCCTGGTGGTGCATTGGTTAAGAATCCGCCTGCTGGTGCAGGGGACACGGGTTCGAGCCCTGGTCCGGGAAGATACCACATGCCGCGGAGCAACTGAGCCCATGTGCCACAACTACTGAGCCTGTGCTCTAGAGCCTGCAAGCCACAACTACTGAGCTCATGTGCCACAACTACTGAGACTGCGCTCTACAGCTCACGAGCCACAACTACTGAAGCCCACGCACCTAGAGCCTGTGCTCCGCAACGAGAAGCCACCGCGATGAGAAGCCCGCGCGCCACAACTGAGCGTAGCCCCCAGTCGCCGCAACTAGAGAAATCCTGCGCACAGCAACGAAGACCCAATGCAGCCAAAAAAAAAAAAATTTCCTTTCTCCAACCTAAGGATTATTTTTTTCAGCCAGTGAACTTGCTCACAGTGAGCACTTCTAGAGGATGAGGCTGCTCTTCAGTTGGGCTGCCACCTGCACCATTTCAGTCAGCGCAGAGGGAACAGTTGGTAGCTTCTCTTCAGTCAGGCTTGTGCCCTTGGTCCCTTCCTCTGTATCTGCCCTACTGCAGGAACTAACTCTGAACTTTGCTGGAGAGATCAACAGGTTAGAGCTTTCTCAAGACCAGCAGTGTCCCCTCCCATAATGAGGCAGCTCCAACTGGGTGCTTCAACCGATTTTAAGATCCAGATCTACACATTTTTTCCTCAAATTCTTGCCTTCTAGTGTTTTTTTAGGAATAAATGTGCATAAAATTGGAAAATGATTCTGAAGGGTAATTTCCCTCAGTTAGCAGTTTTCAAATTTAGTCTTAGGACCCCTTTACACTACAAAAAATTAAGAGCCCCAAACAGCCTTTATTATCTGGGTTAGAGCCATTGATGTTTATTTACTATAGTAAATGCATTTTAAAACAACAGTAACTTATGTTAACTTTTTATGAAAAACAACTTCCAAAGCAAATCCAGGGAGAAGAGTGGCGTTTTACATTTCTGCAGATCTCTCGCGTCTGGCCTAATAGAAGGCAGCTGGATTCTCACAGCGGCTTCCACAGCCTGTTGTGTGTTGTGCTGACGTAAAGCTGACTTCACACAGATATGAAGTTGGAAAAAGGAGCTTTTAAATAGGCTTCTCAGGTAATTGAGTCTATGTGATGCTATGTCACCACTCCACAGGTGGCAGTTTCTTAAAGGCAACGTGGATCTGAAACCTTATCAATGAGCTTTTTATACTCTTACATTAAAACCCACTGGCCTTACACTTTTAATGAGTCTTACCCATGAGTGATTTTATAGCATCATGCATTAGGCATTTGGAAAATGCTCATTCACTGAATTATGCAAATCTTCCAAATGTCAATACATCTCATCGTACAGATCACGTTTGTTCATATCACCACCAGTCCCCTCAGAAAAGTCTAAGCACTGAGAACATGTCAAGCTCATGGCGGCAATACAAGTTTTCAAAGATTCTAATTTTTGCTTGAAAGCTTTTATCATTGGCAACACTATCAGTTTCCCTTGAAGTGAAAGGCTCATTCCGTTCGTTTTCCGGAAAATGTCTCCCAAATAGCCAAGTCTAAATACCTTAATTTGCTCATTCTTTCAAGTAGAAATGGTTATGCCATGAACAACACGGTTGTGTTGCACAACTGCTTTTCCTCAAGACAGCCACACCTCAGTGCGCAGCAGGAGTGCTCACTTCCCGTCATTGCAGAACATGAGCTGTATGCTCAAGGGTCAAGATTTAATACAATTTATCTCTTATTCTGCTGAGGACATTTCTCAGGGAAGTTGGCAATTTTTTCACTGTGAGAGCAAAGGCATGGAGACACGACTGTAGTATTTGGTGCCATTGCCTTGCTTCCTGCCCAGGCGCCAATTGCTGAAAATATCTAGGGATTTCCAGTGACTGGCAGACCACATCTTGAGAACCACTGCTCTAGGTACTGCCCCAGCTGTCTTTTCAAAATCTAAGGTCATGGGCTTCCCTGGTGGTGCAGTGGTTGAGAGTCCGCCTGCCAATGCAGGGGACACACGGGTTCGTGCCCCGGTCTGGGAAGATCCCACATGCCGCGGAGTGGCTGGGCCCGTGAGCCATAGCCGCTGGGCCTGCGCATCCGGAGCCTGTGCTCTGCAACGGGAGAGGCCACAACAGTGAGAAGCCCGCGTAACGCAAAAAAACAAAAAAAAACAACAAAAAAACTAAGGTCATGATTTCTGTGGTGTAAAAAAATCAAGTGAAGGCTGTGGGCTTGAAGACAGGCCTCAAGTCAAAACCCACTTGGAAGTGCCTGTCAGAGGATAACGTGAGACTAAAGCACTGACTACCTGTGCCGGTGTTTCTCTACCATTTTTTCATCATCATTGCCTTAAGGGGCCTTAATCGGCATCTTTTTACTACTCACCCCCACTATGAAAATCTAATACGACAGACCACAGCATATTTACGTACTGTGGTCCTTTGGAGGGCCACAAATTACTGTCTCTAAGATTTTTTGTTGCCCCTCACCCAGGACCCAATTTTCATCCCCACTGAGAATGCATGCCCTGTGGCCACCAATAACTCCCTTCTAGGGGTCATGTCCTCCCCATTTATTTCTCAGCACTTGCCGGCTGTCATCACAGCACGTACCACAGAAGGTTAACGTTAAGGGTTTCGAAGGGAAAGCAGAGGTGTTTCTCACTCTAAACCAACCTACCTCAAAAAATTTCCTTCAGACCTTCCCTGGTGGCACAGTGATTAAGAATTCGCCAGCCAGTGCAGCGGACACGGGTTCGAGCCCTGGTCCGGGAAGATCCCACATGCCATGGAGCAACTAAGCCCGTGCGCCACAACTACTGAGCCTGCGTATTAGAGCCCGCATGCCACAACTGAAGCCCGCGTGCCTAGAACCCGTGCTCCCCAACAAGAGAAGCCACTGCAATAAGAAATCTGCTCACCGCAACAAAGAGTAACCCCCCGCTCGCCGCAACTAGAGAAAGCCCACCCGCAGCAACGAAGACCCAACACAGCCAAAAAAAAAAAAAATTTCCTTCAGTATTGACTGAATGTCTTAAATGCAAGGGTTTGCCCAGAAATCGAGAAGGCAAGACCTACTTCAGAAAAGTACTCACCATGGAATTCTTTTAGATTGTGAATGTCCTTATAAAACAGGACTTGGGACTCAGACGGATTATTTCTAGAAAGCTTATAGTTTCAGAAAGGGCTGAAATATATCCCTCCTACATATAGATATGTGATTATAAATAGTATACTCACCACCACCCCCCCCCAAATTTAACACTGTGCCCTAAAGCAAGCAAAATCTGGCTTAAGTACAATAGACTGATGTTCTATAGCTCTTTACCAAGGACTCCGTGTCAAAGGAGGGGAAGGAGTGAGTGGTTCTGTGGCCTGCACTTCTACCCAAGTCTGCATGGAAGAGGGCCAAGTTAAAGGAAGGTCAGGGATGCTCCTCTGGGTCCTCTCAGGGGCTGGGAAAGTCTTATGACATTTTCTGGGGAACCATGATTCTGTCCAAAGTCAAGGTGGCTCAGAGGCCTTCAGACGGCTGATATTTCCAGAAGGCCAACTCTCCATCATCACTGCAGGAGGCCAGGAGCCCCCGCTCCTTGGGATTCCAGGCCACACAGTTGACATCCTGGGAATGGGCCTGAGGCACGTGGGCCGTCACGGAGAAGGTGGGCTGCTGCAGATCTGAGCCGGGATCCTCCTCAAATACTCGGATGGCATCATCCCCACAGGCAGTAGCCAGGGCCCCTGTCAGCTGACACCTGGGACGAACATGTGCATCACTGAGTACGCAGGTGGCTCCTCCCTCCCCAACCTGGCAAATCAGGTAGGAGGGATTGGTTCTATAGTCCCCCTGGCCTGCTCCCATCCCAAACTTCAGGCTTCAGCTATAAGTGTCTTATCGAAGAGCCTCCCTAACAAATATGTAGCCACAAACATCACCCCAAGCTTCAAGTGCTGCCATCTAGGTTTTCCTCCAATACAATTAACCTAAAAGACTACATATAACTCTGAATTGCAATTTTCTCACTTGGAATAAGCAGTTTCCCTATCATAAAGTATTCTTTGACCATTTTTTAAAAAGTGATACAATAGGCCTCTAAATTCTATCATACTTTTACTTGAGTCCATATTTGCTACTCCCAAATGTTTGCCAATATAAATAAAACTTAGATGCACATCAGGTTTTTCATTATTTAGGATTATTTCGTAGGGATAGATTCTCAGGGCCAGAACTGCCCTCTGATCGACTCTCCTATATGAATGGTGTCATTTTTCTAGACTCCATAAGGGTAGAAACAGCCCTGTGGATTCACGGCTGGATTCTCCAGCCGTGAATCCACAGTTTCAAGAATAAATATTTCTGGATGGTATGATGCTGTGTGACCCCCAAAGGCTGGAGCTGCCTTCATAGCCTGGAATCTTAACACAGGTGCAGGCCTGGGTCTAAGCCTGTCCCCACTCCTGGGTACCCCAGACCGGCCAGCTCTGAGCCAGCATGGAGACAGTCTGGCCTGATCTGAAGACCTGAAGGTGGCTGCTCTCTATCCCCATGTATTCCCAAAGGTGAAAGGGAGCAGCACAGGCTTTTGACTTCTCTAAAATCTCTCCAATGGTTGGGGTGGCAGGGTGGAGGCGGTGGGGAGGTCTTACCAAGCGACATCGTAAATGGTCCTGGAGTGGAAGCCTGACAAGGTGCAGATACATTTCCAGCTAGGGTCAGAGCCGCTGCACGCCACCCCTGCATGACAGACTTCTCTTGAGCCTCAGGCATGTCCGTGTCCTGGGCATCTCAGGAGAGTATCTAACCCGCCCCAGAGGAGACCCTAATTTGCTGCACCCCACCCCACCCTCAGTCATGAGGCCTCATCTTCATTGCTCTCTGTCCTCACTGATCTGCCTTACACACTGCAGCGAGACTAGCAGTTTTACAGCAGAATTCTGAGAAGGATTATGTCCTGTTCCTCAAAACCCTTTTGCTGCCGACTACGTCTGACGGGTTAGCCTGCCTTTTAAGGCTGCCCACCAGGCAGCCCAACCCACCTCCTTTCTCTCCAAACCCTTTATGCTTATGCTCCATTGACACGAGTCACTGTTCCTGGCATAAGTCTAGGCTGTCTTTACCTTCAATGCCTTTGCTCGTGTTTTTTTGCACCTAGAATTCTCTTCTTGTGTTAAAATCCTACACCCTCTTTCAAGCCCAGATGAAACGGTCCCCCTTCCTCAGACGCTCCCCTGACTCTTTCAGCAATCTACCTGGAGCCCTCTGGTGGCACACCTGCCTCTCTACCCCAGTTTCCTGTGACTCATCTATGTGTCTCAGCCCCTCAGTAGACTAAGCCTCGTGAGAGATGGGTCTTCATTAGCTCCCGGGCTGGGCCCTCACCTTGCTCATTGCCCGGTAGATACTGGTGCCAGATGCGCACGGTACGGTCATCACTGCAAGAGGCCAGGCGCTGGCCACTGGGGTCAAAGGCTAAGCTCCACACGGTGGATTCATGGCCTTCGAGGGTGGCACAGCATACCCAGTCATCCTCTTCCTCCCGGTAGAGCTTCACTGTGTCGTCATAGCTGGCAGAGGCTAACAGCTGTGGGAGAGGCCAGGGAAAACACAGCACGTGTCTGTAGGGCCCAAGAAGTGGCTGTGGTTCCAACACTTCTCCCTCCCAGGACAGGAGAGTCCCAGGGATCGGCTTTTATAAAGGGATTGATGTCTCTGGGTCACAGACAGAGATCCCTGGAGAAGCCAGGTTGAGGCAGAAGAGCCGAAGAAGGCTGGATACAACCCTCCACGTCAGAATTCCTTCCCACCAAGATATCTGACTCTTACCTCCTGGCTCGGGTGCCAAACCACATGCTTGACATCCTGTGTGTGAGAGTTGAGGACACTAACACATTCATACTCGTCTTCTTCATCAACTGTGCAAGAGAAAAGAAAGGAGCCCTTGAGCTGACCGACCCTGTCAGGGACACAGGGGGAGACCTGGTGGCAGGTTCCCAACTGCAACTGGAGGGACCTGGACTCACCTTCCCAGACCCACACACTCTTATCTCGGCTGCAGGTGGCAAGGAGGTTGCCAGATGGGGCCCAGGCTACTGACTTGACCTCATTTTCATGGCCCTCCAGAGCGGTTACACACTGTGAACCGGGAAGAGGGACAAGAATCAGCGGCAGCTAAGACCCCTGCGGTGCTTCTCACGGGCACAGCCCCACTGGCCCAGGCTGGCTCATGCTCCTCCACCAGCCCTGGCTGGGGGCGGGGAACAGGCAACAATCCTGGTCCCGTCCAGCCCGGTTACCTCAAAGTCACCATCCTTCTTCTTCCAAATGCAAGTGGTAGCATCAAAGCTGGCAGAGGCCAGGTGATTCCCACAGGGAGACCAGGCCACCTTCCGCACGGTGCGCTGGTGGCCTTCACAAAGGACAGATTTGCAGACCCAGCTGTCACCTAAAAGCAGAGGACAGGCCAGGCTCTGGAGCTGGGTGCGCGAGAAGGTGCTGAAGCACTATCAGTGCCATTGGGTAATGGGGACCAGTATTGGAGCCAAGCTGGGGGGCAAAGCTCAGTGGGCGTATTTAATAACATGCTTTCAGAAAGTCAGTTTATTAATTGACTCCACTTCCTGTGGAGGCATCCTTCTTAAGTCAAATCGAGTCACCCTCCCAACTTAAAACTGTCAATAGCACCCAAACGCCCTTGGGATAAAATTTAAACTTAATCATCTATAGCAAATTACTCTGCAGGCTATTTTCCTTCTCTCTGCATTTTCCTACCTCAGCAGCTATCACAATTCCCTCAACAGCCTCAGCCTACTGACATTTTAGCTTCTAGTATTTGTCGACTCCTTTGCCAGAAAAATCTTTCTCAGAGTGGCTAAGGAGGCCCCTCCACCCTCTGCCTTGGCCTGCGACCCCCGTCCAGGGTATGCCTGCCCCGCAGGCTGCGCACTCCCCGAGCCTGGGCACCCACACCAAGCGCACGTAGACCCCTCGGCGGCAGCGGTCGCGCAGCCGGGCCTTACCCTCCCTGCCCCAGATGCGGACACTCCGGTCGCCCCCGCAAGAGGCCAGCAGGGTTCCCGCGGGGTTCCAGGCCAGGAACCAGCAGCGGGAGTCCGGGTGCGCCAGGATACGGCCAAGCAGCACCAGCGAGTCCTTCATGGCTGCCCGGCTCAGGAGGAGGCAGAGGTGAGCAGAGCCAGCCGCGCCGACTGCGGTTCCCACCAGGCAAATCCTCTTCCTCCTGAGGGCCGGGGTCCTCCTTGGAACTAAAGCACCCGCGGCTTCTGCCGTGCTGCCCTCTGGGAGTTGTAGTCGGCCTTTCACTCCCCCCTCCCCCACAGCCCCCCACCCCCATCGAAAAGCATCGCGGGACTGCCTGAAACTACAAGTCCCGTGAGGCCTTGCGCAGGGAGCCGGCGGCGCGCCCGGGCTGTGTCGCGCGCGGGGGACGGGGCGGGGAGCCGGAGGAGGCGGGGGCAGAGGTGGAGGAAGCCGGAAGTGGATCGGGCCCGGGTTGGTTCGGGCGTTGCGGGTTTGTGGCCTGGGATCGCTCGGACCGTGGCAGCTGAGGAGCCCGTGACGGGACGGAGAGACGCCATCCCGGCACGGAGGCCTGCTGACCGGTGAGGATCAGGAGTCGGTGAGGGGTGGGTCCTCTCTGGACACAGGTCGCACCCCAGATCGCTGTTCCCAGGTCCTGGGTCCTCGATCCCTGCGGCCCAGCCTGGTCCTCCGCCCCTCGGCACCCTCTGGCCAAGACTCCTAGGCCGTGTCTCTCTTCCACCAGTAACAGATAACTCCGCCCCAGTCCCCCTCCCCACTCTGCTCTGCCGAGATCCAGCGGGCCCCCAGCCCTCTCCGGGTCATCATCCTGCACCTCCGCAGCCCCACTCCAGGGACCCTGTCCCCGCCCCCCGAACCTCTGCAGCTCTCCTGTCTCTGCTCTGCCCTCGGTCCCACCCCCATCCTCCGGTGTCGGCCCTGACAGCGTTGCGCCAGCCTCACCTCTGCGAGCCCAGTGCGTTGCTCTCTTCCCCCCGGACAGGCAGGCTCTGTGTGCTCGGCGGAGGTCGGCGGCGACCAGCAGCGACCGCGGAGCGACGGCGGGCGGCCCCGGGCATGTACGCCCCCGGAGGCGCAGGGCTGCCTGGCGGGCGCCGGCGGAGGAACCCGGGAGGCAGCGCTCTGCCCAAGCAGCCGGAGCGTAGCCTGGCCTCGGCCCTGCCGGGTGCCCTGTCCATCACCGCGCTGTGCACTGCCCTCGCCGAGCCTGCCTGGCTGCACATCCACGGTGGCACCTGTTCCCGCCAGGAGCTGGGGGTCTCCGACGTGCTGGGCTCCGTGCACCCGGACCTGCTGAAAGGTGAGGGCGCTGCGCGCCGGCCCTCTTCTTTTTGGACGACAGGGCCTCCTCGGTAGGGTGCCGGCTGGAGCTGAGGTAGCCTGGGGCAGGCACTTGGTTGAAGGAAACAGCCCCATTCCTGCCTGGTGTTCAATGCCCACCAGGTGGCTCTGTTTGGGGTCCAGCCCCTCATTAATTCTGATGTTATTCAGCCAAGCACCCACTCTTCAACGCCATGCTAATCTGGACTGCTATTTTAGGCTTCTGCCGGGCGAAGGGCGCCGTATATGGAGAGAAGATAAGGGTGCTAGGCATCACAATTAGCTGTCTCCTTCTGAGGAGCCTCTGGGATACAGGAAGGTTTCTTTGGGACAGCCTGACTGATGGAGAAAAAGGAACTTTTAAATATGGCTAGAGTTTAAAAGATGTTTTTGAGTTGTACAGTAATTTGATTGTTGTTAGAGACAAAGGGAGTCTACGGTATTTTCAATAACCAGAAGTCAGTTCCATTGCCACCCTCAGTAAAACAATAGGAATTTGGCTCTTGGAACCCTCACAAGTGTGCCCGAATGAGGTAAGTTTGCTTTGTTCGTCATCCTGCCTCTCAGCCAGGGAGGCAGAGGAAAGGGGAAAGGGACCATGGTCTTTACTGGGACCCAGGGGAGGCCTGTAGCTCATCCTGCCCACCCTGTCTGTAGTAATGAAGGTAAAGGCTGTGTGGTGTGGGGGTCAGGATGGCACTGCCTGGCTTTTACAGGGAAAATGGTCAATGGATTCCAAACAGCTCTTAGTAACAGCGGAGTTCATTACCCGCAAGGCCTTTTAAACCATTCTTGAACGCTTTCTCCCTGTGCCACTCCCTGGCTGTAATTCATTCCAGATGTTTACTGCCCCATGTATCAGAAGCCCGTCCTGTTAGATATCTTCACGTTGCCTTTTTACGGATTCAGGCTCTGGGATTTGGTGAAAAGGTCAAGTTTTCCTTTGGAGAACTTGGATCATATATACCACTTATGCAGGTTGCGGCTGAAAAGCCTTATCCTTGTGGCCTAATCTTGTCTTTCTCTGAGAGTTCTTTTGCTGTTTTGCATTTCTCTTGAGTCTTTGAAGCTTTAGGATGATTTTGTAGAGAACAGGTTGGGGGCTTCTGGTTTGTTTCTAGATTTCACCTTGATGATAGCTTTCTCTGCGTTGGCTCATTACGAGCCAAGTTATCCACACGATGGAGGCCGTGTGACATGCAGCTTTTTCTGTGGCGTGTAGCTGATGACAGAAAGCCCATCAAGCTCGAGTTGAGTCTGCATGGTTTTTCCCTTAGCGCGTTCCCCTGCACTTGCCTTTTTTTGAGGAACAGCTGCCACCTTTCCACCGCTTCACCCAGACCTTGGCAGTTGATCCCCTGATGGTCAGTGTTTCAAGGGCTTGGTGTCATTTCCAAACTGGGAGAGAGTTCACGATGCTTCTCCATTTCAGATCATTCCTAGGGAGGCTCTTAAAATTCATGCCATGAGGGGAGGGGCCATCTGATCCCATGTCCTCATTCCAAAGGTCCAGGAAACTGGTGTCTCAGAGAGGTGAAGTGATCTCTCCAGGGCCACACAGCTGGGAGTGGCATAGCTGAGTGTGCCTCAACCGTTGACTCCAGTTTAAAGTGACGCTGTCTCGTTTATGTTTTTTAACCTTTGCTTTACTTAAGCCGTCATAAGGAATGATCTCATGATCATTCAGTCCACTCTGGCGTGCATCCTTGTCAAAGCCATGTCAAAAATAAGAATAAATTCTTGGTGCAGTTCTCCTTTGTTTACACATATATTAACCTTTTCTGAGAAATTATCCAAGCCAGGTTTTGTCTTTTATAAAGCACGTCGCCTTCACCTTTACATTATGCCTGTTCGTGTGTTTAGGGATCTTAACCCATGAATAGTTTTGGCCTGGTTTTCCTTGGCCATCTTCTTGGCCACTGCAAGCTGGGAACACTTGGTGTCCATTAATAAAGGAGTTGACAGCGGTACCTCATGAGCTACCACAGAAGGCGAGGAATCCACAGGTCCCTGTTCCTCCTCTTCTTCTTTGTACCTGTTGGTTTTTCGGTGCCCAGTGGGCCTTCAGATGTGCACTCTTCTGTGGGATTGTGCTGAGCCTCCGGGCCTGGCAGATATCCTAGCATGGAAGCCTGGGATATTCCCCATCTCAGGAAGGAGCAGAGCTGTGGGGTACAGATCCAGTGCCTGTAGATGCTTCCAGAGGGAGAACAGACTCTGCCAGGTCTCTGCAGGCGACAGGGAGCGGCCAGGGACAGCAGACTTTGGGACGGTGTCTTCCCATTTCTTGGCCCCCTGCCTGAGTGCCAGGCGTTGTGCTAAACCCACTTCACGCCTGGCTGTAGTGTCTCCTAAACAACATCTTTATTTGGTAGGGACTGTCATCACCCCA